CTGGTAAAGTGATTTATCTGAAGTTTATACAGAAAGCTGATGTGATAATAAAAATACTTGAATCCTTGAAACAAACTGAATAAGCTTCTAAAGGAACGAATCAGATTAAAAATAATTTCTGATCAGGAAGAACAAGCGAGACGAAAGTGAAATGAACTCAAATGCATGTTTATTGAAGTCAACAACTGAACTTGTATTCTAACAAAAAAAAAGAGAGAAAAGAAACAACCGTTTTTTTTTTTTTTTTATCATTTCAGCCAACAGATGCACAACTCAGCCCGCATGTTTGAGTCTGGCACCGATCACCTGAACAGACACGACGGCACTACTTCCATGTGATGTTCACTCTAAAGGAAGACTTGTCATCCAGAATAAGGAAACCAAATAAAAAGGAATTCATTTTGTCGTGGAAATAAAAAGTTTTGTTAACGCAACAGAGAGTGTCTTTTGAGTCTGTTCAGGTCATTTGACACACTCATACACAAACACACACACACATATATATGTACAAATACGCCATAATAACAGACATCATGCCTGCTGTGCATATCCAGATATGTGTGTGGATGTGTATGCACCCAGTGTGTGTGTGTGTGTGTGTGTGTGGGTCTGCATGTAAGAGTTTACAGGAAAGGCAACACTATATACATGAAAATAAAGGGGAACAAATGATTGCAGAAAGGAAAAAATATGCAAAAAAAACTTCTAACATTCAAATTTTGCAAAATCTAAGGAAAGAAAATGATCTSTTGAACTGAAAGTTCACTGACGATTATGCACATCTTTTAAAAAAACATAATTGGAAAAAAATAAAGAAACAAACAAAAGAAAAGAAAAGCAGCTTGGCAGCTAGTGTGCTATGGAAGCGAATATGTAACAATATCGTATTTAAAATGGATTAATAGAAATGTGGTTTCATTTTCAACATGTATGATATTGTTACATATTCACTTCCATAGTGTGTGGCTACCCAAAGAGGAGTGGATGACTCGAGCTGAGGGACAGAACAGCTCAAACCGACTGAAGACGGAGAAGAAAAGCTTTTGTTTGCTGGCATCTGGTGACAGCTGCTTATCACTGCACTGATGCAACAAAACACTGCACGTCCCAGTTCAACCGGTTTTATGTCGGTGACAGGGGGGRAAAAAGGCAGAGTATTAGTTTCCCGCAGTGGTTCTGGAAGTGTTGACGGGGGTCCAGATGGATCCAAACTGGGACAYGGCGTATGTTTGCAGAACAGAGGACAGCAGGGAGGTCAGCCGGGCGGACCGCCGCTCTCGTCTCAGGAGAGAAGCCACGTCTCTTTTCCCAACACTATCTACACTTTTCCAACCATTTCTCATGCAAGCTACATGCTAGCACATAAACTAAGACAAAGGACAGGACAATTAATTACAGGCAAATACAGGTCCGTTAGTTTTAAAGAGACATTACACTTTGTTAAGTATGAGGCAGGAATCCATCTCCTCTTCAGAGTCGAGCTATAAATACAGTTCAACACTAATGAGACAAACTGAGACGAAGCTGGTCCTCTGCTCTTCAGACAGAAGCRAAAAGTTGAAGAGTGACAGAAACACGTTGGGGATTCCTTGAAATATTTGTGCGTGTGCCCTGCTGCTTATATGGAAAGCTATAAGCRCCACTAAACGGGCAYTTTACAATGCGTTAAACTTAAAAACCTTAAAAAACGGCATTTAAAACGTTGTTTTATAAGTCAGAACGCCGTAAAATACGCCGTAAGCCCTGCCATAACGCCRTTTTTTTCTGCCGTTTGGAGATCGCCTTTTGAACGCTGTAAAAAAATGACATTTTCTCTGGTCAGTGAACGCCTCTCAGAACGCCGTCAGGCGTCCTTTTGCAATAAAAACGCAGTTTTTAAGCTGGTTTTTCCACATTTAAAACGAAGGCGATCTCAAAACTGCGAAAAAACGGCGTTCTGACGAGGCTTACGGCAGATTTTACGGCGTTCTGACTTATAAAACACCGTTTAAAACGCCGTTTTATAAGTTTAACGCGTTGTAAAGTGGCGTTTCTGTGGCGTTTCTGTGGCGCTTTAGGCTTTCCGTAGCTTTAACCTTAGAGGATTGACAGGGATTTCAGCCTGAGCGGTGGGGAACATCCCTGAAAGACCCGCCCACCCATTCCATCCAGGGCCAACTCAGAGACAGAAAACACGATATGTTCACACACTAGCACCTCCGATCGGCTGAGATGAACCCGTTTACCCAGCTCTCAGAAGGAGACGCTGCAGGAACASGAAACCTTCACGCACAAAGGCGTCGGCTCGGCTGTGAAGTGACAGAACCGCAGCGCCGCCTTCTGATAGGCCTCAAACACCGGTCGATCTTCAGTCGCAAAATATTCTGGGAAACCTTTTAGTGTTTTTCAAGTAAGTGTCTAACAGTGCGTACGCATCAACAGCAACATGCATTCCTCTCCGAAGAGCCGTCGGCACATCTACTTCTACTGAACGTCAACACGAGCTGCTCAACGAGACAAAGACCCGAGAGGAGGGTCAGACATCGATCGGAGACGGAGGAGCGATGAGAGGAGGAGAGACGGGGTGAAGGTGGACCGGGACGCAGACGGCTTGATTGATTAAAGAAGGAAAAGAAGCGGACGAGTGGAGCGGAAGGAGAAAAACAGAAGAGGACATTAAAGTTTCCTAAATGACTTTCTCGAGTATCAGCGCAGCCCGGACTCCAGCTTGGCTTTCCCTCCCTCCCGCCTGCCAACGYCGGCCTTGGCACGAGTACAATCTGCAGCCAGAAGCCTCTTAGTTAGATTGCAATCAATTTCCAAGACTAGGCCAAGTGGAACTTCCTCCTGCCAAGGCCAACTCCCAACCTTAATAAAGGAGCGCTCGTTTACGGGAACTCTTAGCTCAGCTTATAAATGAGTCATGCTCAGAAAAAAACCAAGAAAACAACAACAGGAAGGGTTTTTTTTCTTGTTTTTTGCCAGCGAGTTTGTTTTAATGTGTGCAGACAGCTCCGTTTGGATCTGGATAGACATTTCTCCTCCCTTCAGCAGCAAACATATCAACTTGTAAAAAGTCTGTGATGTTCTTGTTTATTGAATTTAGAGTCAAGGGCATGTCATTGCAGGGTGAACGACCGCAAAGGTGAGTCCGATTAAACCGGGGCAAAAAAAAAAACAACCCTCCAAACTCCCAGACGCCTTCCCAACTTGTGTTTGAGTCTGATTTTGCTACAGATTAAAGAAAAAGGAGAGGAGATGGTGGAGAAAAAACAGGCAAAGAAGGAAAAGGGGATGAACAGCATCGAAACCAAAAGTTTGATTTTCGGACTTTTTGGACGGACAAACCTGCCAGACACTGTAAACRGTTTAACACTGACAGTAACACACGAGACGCTGACGAGAAAAAAAACAAACAAAACAAAAGAAAATCTCAAAGTACACCTCCCCCCCACCCCGCAAAAACAAAACAAAAAAAATTTTTTTCAATCAAATCAAAAATAGTCAAATAAAAACGTAAGAAAAAAACATTCTTTATACAAACATTTGCAGTTTAAGGTTAGTTTTGCAACATCTTCGTTGTTATTTTTACATTTTCACCCCCGACGTATTGGTAGTTTCGACTCTGCATTTCCACGCATGTAATAAAAACAGGCAGTTTTTTTTATTTAGTTTTTTCTTTTGAGTATATACGTTACTGTAAAGCAGTAACAGACTGTATGAGAGACGCGAGAGGGAGCTGCAGAGAGGGAAGAGAAGACACGGAATGTAAAAACGGAACAGAGAAGAGTGTATTTACAACACACCAAACAGTTTTGTCAAGTAAAAAGAATGCTATATAACTCTATATTTATACATTTATATATATTTATATCTGTATACTGGAACCCCTGGGCTTGGTAGCACGAGGTGGGAATGCTAGTTTTGCAGGTTTTGTGGTGCATTGTGGGAAATCGGTCTGTCCAACGCAGGATTTAGGTGAATTTACAGGAAGAGGTTTGATGACATCCAAAGATTGATTTAGTCTTGATGTGAAGGTGTTTACGGAGGGATTCTGCCTGGTGCTGATAGAGAGAAYGAGGACAGAAATGTGAAGGGACAGACGGGGGGAACGATTCAAGAAGAGACGGTTAAGATGCTCGGAAACATGGAAAAATCAGTCCAAGATGTCAGAATGTGATTTACAATTTAGATTTCTTTTGCGCTGCTTTGACAGCTGGATGCATGTGTCAGAATTGAGGTGTGTTAGTAGGAAGCTCGCGTTTGTTAATCTGAGCGTCTACGAGCATTCAAGTCTGGGGAAAACAAAAAAAGAAACTAAACATCATCTCAAGAATGATTTCTGTGTGTTTAACTTCAGTTCATCCGAATGTCAGTGCAAAAATCTCACTTCCCTGTATCAATGCAAAACGGGTAGTTGAAGCTCAGCTCGTCACTTTTTCACCCCCACGGTCCTCCCCTCCCCTCCCCCGCCCCCCGCCCCCACGACTCTCCGTCCAACAGAGTGAAGAACTGAAGCGTTGTGAAAACAAATGGAGGGCTTTTCCTTCTTCCCTCCTTCGGCCCGTATTGAAAACTTCCTCCTCGTTCCTTTTCTTCCACCACTCGGTCCGTCCACCTAGATGAAGTACTCCTTCTTGTCCTCGGCTCCAGAGTGGCCTCCCTCTGCGTTGATGATGGCCGTGTCGGCGTCGGGGGCGTCGTCCGAGCCCTTGGCCTCGTGGGTCAGATACGTTCCTGTGGTGTGAGGAGGGAGAGGGACACCCGGTGAACAAACAGAGAGGAAAGAGATGAGTTTTCCAAACCGTAATATCACAATGTCCCCATGACTCCGGTGTTGATACTACGAGTCATTTCTGTAATATTTGCTTGTTTTTCTGGTGGTTCAAGTGGTTGAATTACTGCGGTCCAGACTGATTTCAGTTGGGGGAAGCCTGGGAGAAAAGAAACCTCAGAGGAGGAGCTGAACGGCTGACAAACGCTTCAAGAAAAATGTGCAATCAAGTTTTATAACCYGAAATTATCCGACAATTTATTCAAAAATATTCAACAACTGGGTTTTTAACATGGCTATAGCAATTTCCATTGTTAGCGTTTATATTTGAACTCCATGTTGTGCTCTTTTATAAGTAAATCRGGGTCTTAAAGGGCAGCTGAATTATCATTCAGTCCTGAATGTCAGATCTTCTCCTCAGCTCCATGTCAGAGGTGAGCCRCGGCTGCCTCGCCTTAACGCTCCGATTAGCCATGTGGGAGAAACATTAGCTGTTTTTATGTTTTACAGGACGCTGTAACAATACTGTGTAGTGTTTACCAGACAATGGGCCTCATGCAAGAACCGTTCATTCGCACAGATTTGTTCTTAAGTTGTGCGTACGAGTGATTTAGGAGAATTTGTGG